AGTACGTGGATATAGAACCATGTAGATGGGTAGAGGGGGTGCACTTGAGAGTTCTCTTCTGATGACTTTTATTTTTTCTCAGCAGCTGACAGTCATGATGGGATGGGTGCTATGAATATTTGAGATGAGAGGAGAAAATGTGCAATTGTCATCTAGATGAGGAGAGTGAACTAACTGGAGGGTATGGCAGCAATGCCAAGCAGCACTAAGGACCGGCTGAGATTTAGCCATGCATTTAAGGTGGAGCCAGTCGTCATGGTTGTGTGTTTTGTCTTAGCCACTTTTAGCTTCTTGGTGTAGGAATGGAATTGGCAGTTTGCTCTATTTACCTGGTGTTTCATTATGCCCAGTAATTCCTTCAGTTGACATATAATTAGTGAGACAGGAGTTACATGAGTCTTGGGCTAGTGCCTGCTATGATTTCCTATGGCCTGAAAGAATTTGGGGAAGGGCCCCTTTTGGAACACCTGGTACAGGTGCTAGTTGAGTTCTAGGTGTCATTTATCTTTCTAATGTGATTCCCTTGAGAGCTTTAAGACTGAAAAATCTTTCTGTCTGCAAATGACTTTTGGCAAAAGTTCAAAGTTCCCTCATTTTTTTTGACATTAACATATAGCATTAGAAAGTATTTACATGTTTATTCCCCAGTAGATATTTAAATTATTTACATTAACGTTGCCTGTTAATGTTGAATTACAGACATTTCCTTTGTTTTCTAATATAATTGATCTAGTTCTTTAAATGTTTACATTGTGCAGCTTCATGACTATGAAGTATTAGGGAGTAAGATACAATATTTCATAAATATTGAAAATTGAACTTCAGAAATGAAGCTTGTAAAATCCAGTTTGGTCATATCTTCTGTTATGAAATGAATAGACTATTTTATATTTACATGAGATTATGGAAGAAAATCTGCAAGTAAAAATGTTAGATAATTTTAAGATTAATGCTTTTCTAAAATAACATTATAAACTAACTCAATATAGGCTTTTGTTGAAGTAAATGTAAGGGAAGGTAAATCTTTTGTATAATATGTTGGAAAAAATCTGGTCTGCAGATGGAAAGTGAATTGATTGGTGCGCATAAATGAAAAAGTTCAAAAGCTGAGTCCAGTGTCAGGTGCCACTGGGCGAAAGTTTTGATTCTCCATCTCTGTGATTCTGTTCTGTCTGACACCCAGCGGCTTTGCACTCACGTGGATTTCAGCACATTTCCACGTCACACTGTCCTTTCAAACTGTGCTCTGCAGTATTTGTAACACGTAAGAAAACTTTTTCCTTCCATATCTTGTTATTAAACTTCTTTACATTTAGCTTATGCTCTTGTATATTTATATATCCATCTTTAATATATACACACACATTTAGTGTATGCTTTTCTGTATTAAAGAACACGTGCTCTTCTGTAGCATATTTGTATTTAATGATTTGGGGGCTGTAAGCAGATACAATAGTATCATTTAAAATGATTCTCTTATTTTTATTTTGCAAAGTTGTTATATAATGTAGGAAGAATTTTTTTCTGTTACTTACATACCTTTTAATTTACATGATTTTTCTCTCAAACTATTGGTTTCAAAAGGTTTTATCATGGACTGAAAGTTATCATATCCCTTAAATTCACAGCTTTTACTTTGACGAGAAATACTCTTATTACTTTTTGTAAAAAAAAAACAATTTCGGCTCTTATGATTTAGGTCATTTTTGTAGCAGATGAGCCAACTAGAATTTATAATGATTTTTAACAGCAGAAGGAACTCAATGTATGTGCATAATAATACATATACACTGGACTGCCGGCATATCCTTTAGGTATTAAAATGAGACTGTGTAGGATGTAGCTGACTGACAGTCTTATTTTGTGGCTTTTAAATTTTAAACTGCTTTTATTTAAATATTGGAAACATGGTTAGGTTCTTTTTTGTGTGTGTGTGATTGTTATTTATTCATTCCAGTATTTTAAATGCAGTTTTTCAAGTGTGTGTTGACAGGGTCTGATTGGTGGTGGTGGTGGTGGTGGTGGTGGTGGGGTGGGTGTGGGTGTGTGTGTGTGTGTGTGTGTGTGTGTGTGTGTGCGTGAATGTAGTTTTAGTTCCTTTTTTAAATAATAGAAAAAGTAATAAAACTTGGTGAACCCTAATTTTATTTCCAAATGTAAGAAAGAAGATAGATCAAAATATTTTCTATTTTATTCTAACATAGGAGATATAGGATAAACACTTACTCTTTGATTAAAACTCTTTGCATTGGTTTGGTTTAAATTTCTCTTGCAAATGTAAAAAATATAATGTTTTCCCAAAAACCTTACAAAGATTTTAAACCTTATGGGACTTGCCAAGGTAATTGCTGTATTTAAATTCAATTAACTTCTTCCTTGTAGTAACTACCACAGGAATTCCTTTTATAAAAGAAGGTTCTTTTTTAAGAAACTGGAAAATTATTTTTCTGAGTTTAGAGAGAAAGTTATGTCGTTTTCATGCTGTCGTTATAGAGACATTTCATATCTCTATCACTTCTGCTGATATTTAACGAAAAAGTAAGAATGTTAGGGTTTGGGAAAAGATGCACTGTCTTATTTAACCTCAGTATTTCTTTTTTTGCAAGCTTACATAGGGAAGGATTCAGCTAAAAGCCATTGCCTAAAAATGTGAAGTTAATATTAATTCTTGAGTAAAGTTAGAAAGCTATATAACTTTGTAAAATTTTGAGTCTGGGCATGAAACCAAGTAGGAGAAAAATATAATTAAGGATTTCTTTTGCCTTCAAATATCTGAAAGAAAAAAGAAAAAGAAAATAAAGGCATTAAAAATTGTAACAGATAAAAGTCAGGGCAAGTTTAAAAGTTGTTTTCAGTCAGATCTGAGTAGTATTTTATGCTAAACTATATTATCTGTGTTTAAAGCCGAGCCTAGTAATTTGAACCATGAAAATAAGGCACTTTCACCACTAATCACAGTGTATTGATTGCAGGCCTGTTATTACGTTGGTTTGTTTAGCTTTTTTCTTTCTCAAAGTGAATTCCATAGATCACCCACGCTGGCATTACTTGGGGTGATTAGGGAAAAAAAAATCCCTATCTCCACCAACCTGTTGAATTAGAATATGTGATGGATGGGCCTCAGGAGTTTCCTTTTTAAAATTAAGGCATTTAAAATTAAGAAATATCAGATGTGTGAATGTGTAAAACTCACACATATATACACATAGTTTAAAGCATAATAATAAACACCACTGTGCCCACCATCCAGCTTTAAAATTAGAGTGCGATATTCAACTAGTAGTTAAACGTCTACTTTATGTAGACGCTATTTTCTGCTAGCGGGAATAGAAAGGATAATACGATTTGGTGCCTGCCTTCAGGAAGTCCACATTTAGTGTGACATTACACTATCAAAATCTCTATTTCATGTTACAAATCTCACAAAAATAAGCAAAACAGAGTGGAATAGCTTTGTATTGACCCATATCATCAAATTATTATTTTCTTTTTTTTGCATAGAAAAAATCAAAATGCACCCCAAGTGAGTTCAGCCCCACCAGCTGTGTGGGACAAGCCAGAACTTCAGTTTAAGGATCTGCGCTGTGTTCGCTTCTTGTAGGCATAAGGCTGTGCTCTCTTCTAGTCTGGGGATAAGACAATGTGCTTCTTTTAATGTGAACATGTTTAGCTGGCATTTTGATTATATTTTAGTTAGCAGGTTGAAGGATTTTAGAACCCTTTGATAGTAGTGTAGAATTCCAACTACATTTTAAAGAAAAACTTTTGATTTCAGGTATGGTAGAAAAGTAACAAATTAAAAGAGTGTGTGTGTGTGTGTGTGTGTGTGTGTGTGTGTGTGTGTGTAATTTCATCAATGGGGTTAGTGTCCAAATTTCTTCAAAGACAATTTAAGAATGTCTCCTGTGCAAAGAAAATTATTACATGTGGTGAACTCTGTAAGTCATAGACGAAGGTCATGGCTCTCTGAGTGTATTTAAAAGAGGGTTCCTGTCTGCTTGGAAAGCAAATGAAGCACTCATTACTAACTTTAAAGATATTGCTATGAGGATTTTTGCTACAGGTGAAAGATCAAGACCATCACAGTCCAAACGGAGACCAAAGTTCAATTTCTGGCTTATGGGGAGGGCGAGGGTAGGGGCCTGAAACATTTCAGGGTTATTTTGCATTATCAGTGGGGAGTTGATCTTGCTAATCCAATGCATGAAGATAAAAGTCATTGAAACATTTATAAAGGCATTTAGAGTAGATCTGATGAGCAGAGAGAGAACTGGAAGTGAGATGGAAATCCGATCTGTCAGTCACTTGTCTCAGCCTCAGGAATCACTTAGCCTTTCTGTGCCTTACCTTTCTCTTCTGCTAAATGGGGTGGGTTACTGCTTTTGCTTGCAGTGGAAGTTTAGTGGCATCTGGGAGGAATCGTCTGTGTGAAAAAGGCTGGCAGCATTGAGCCCTCTGGCAAGCTGGCAGAGGTACACTTTTTACCATCCAGCCTCCAGTGCTGTCTGGGAAATGACAAGTTTCTTTTTCATTGACAGATGAAAGAGCGAAAGTAAGAGCAGCAGCAGCAGCGGCAAGACAGTCCGTGTCCCTACTCTTCCATACCTACCTTTTAACTTCAGAATCATCTTCTGGGTTGGATTAGCATTCTTAGGATAACTAGAAAGAGTTGACTGTGTTTGTTTTAAACTGCTATAAAACTTGCATGAAACATACTTAGATTTCCCAAGACTTTTGTATATTATTTTGAATTCTCTCATTTAGCCTCTTAATGCCTCTCAGATTGTCTTTCATTTCTATCTCTTTAACCAAAAGAGTCTTCTTAGTGGTTGGCAGGGATTTCCGTTCAGCTAATCCAGTGGCTGATTCTCAGTTCTCATCCTCCGTGACCTAATTGCAGCCTTTGACACTGTGGTTACCCCCCTCCAAAGTCCCGTTGCTTCCCTGACCCTTTCCTCTCCTAGTTTTCTTCCTACATCTCTCATCACTCCTTTTCTTCCTGTCTAATTCCTCTCCCATCCCAATGCGAGTGTCTTCTAAGGTCTTGATCTTCAAACACCTGATTTAGCATTGCTGAATTCCTGTTTCTGAGTCCTTTTTCTCTCTATAGTTGAAGTCATTTGACCCCTACCTTTGGGTCTAGCTCTGCCTCAGACATAAGGACCAGTCCTGATTTTGGGCGAGAAGTGTTTAAACAACACCCACTTAACATGCTGTGGCACGAGATCACCACTCTTACTGCCAGGCCAGCTGACCCCTAGCAAGGATACACTTGCCAAGGAATCAGAGCAGGTGCTCCATGTCTGCTTTGACCAGTACTCACCTGGTGGTCTGAGTGGTCACCAGGTTGGTCCTGGACCACTGAGCCTTGGTTTTGTCATCCTCGGGACAATAGTATTTGCGTCCTTATTTCACAAGATTGCTCACAGGGATCTCATGCAATCTCATGCAGAAGTCCCTGTAAATTGTGCGAGAACATATCAAGCAAGCATCAGCGTCCTCATCATTGCCGAGGTTTGCCACTGATGGAATCACCTGGTTTTCTGAGTCATCATCACTGCTTTCTCAAGAATTTGATCTTCTGAGTTCACTCACTCACTCTCTTTATTCGTTTATCTGGAAATATATGTTGAGCACTTGCTATAGCTTGCTATGGATAGTGCCTTCATAGAATTTTCAGTTTAGTAAAAATATGAAACATAAACAGTAAATTATATAAGGTAGTTGGTGTCTAAATTTACAAGATGGTGGCTTTTTAAATAAATATAATAAATTGGCGAATCTCAGTTTATTGGTTTGTGTTAGAGGTCCTCAATATCTTTGTACAGAAATTTCAGATAACCAAGATTACTCCTTCTGGAAGCTAAAGGGCAAATTAGTAATGGAAAGATTGCTTTGGGGATTTCGAACCAGATAAAGGATTTTCAGGATGTTTCCTCTAAACTGTGAAGACTGGGAAACCACTCCAGTTCTATCCCACAAAAAATTAAATAAAAACAAACCACAAAAGCAGGTACCATTGAACAGTTCTCCATAGATATTGAAATTTTGTTATTGTCTAATTCCCTTTTAATATCAGGATGTCTGCATATATTATGACTCATCTAAAACAGATTTCGATAATTCGATTTAGTTCGATTAGTTACATTTTAAATATTAGACTTTTTTTTAGAGAGGCACTCTGGGTCTTTTAGTGATTTTGAAGAAACATGAGTCTAAATAACACACATAACTTTTCTCTTAATCTTATGTAATTGATGTTCATACTTGTTGTATCTTATTATAGAGAATTTGATTATTTTTATGTTTATTTCCAAATTCTGGGCATGTACTTATTTTAGGTCTGGTGGCTTATCTGTGTATTGACTACAGGCCGGTTACACATGTATTTGTTTGTATTTACAGAATTGTTACTATTGAAAACAGAAGACTTATTCACAGTAATTTACTATACCATGGAGTAATATAGAAATATCAATAAGTTAAATCTGAGAATATTTGGCTTTTAAAACTTTACTTGCTTTATGAAGACATCAGGCTGTGTCTTCGAAGTATCTAACGAGAACACCTGCTCGGTGCAATAAGATTTTTCAAGCGGATTATTCATGCCCAAGGATACTTGGATCTAAAATAACGGTCTGAATATATGCAGTGGGACTGAGCTGCATTCTAATCAAGTGCCAAGATATTGGACTTGAAGGGCCTTCTAAATGAGTGCTTTGCATTTTTTTTTAAACACAACCCACAGATAGAAACGGAAAAGTTTCCAAAGTACAGTTACTCTTTGCGTAATTCACTCTCTCCTCTCCTGTCTTCCCTTCTCCCCTTCTCACTCCACCTTGCCTTCCTTTCTCCTTTTCTTCCCTTCCTTTTTCTTCTCTCTCTTTCATTTTGGAACAACAACAACAAAAATGCCAATCAGCATTCACTAAATTGATTTTGTGAACTATAGGTTGAAAAACACTACCCTACCCTGTAGTGGAAATCACCATCCATAGTCCCTCTTGAGTCAGCTCCTCTGATCTTCTGGACAAACTCTTGGCCTCTGGTCTGTTCTCAGGGGGATTCCTGGCCTCCTGTTACTTGGAGACGATTCCTTTGGTCTTGGCTCTCAGAGCACTTTGAGAACTTTGTGTTCCTGATAACTTCTTTTGTTGCTTGTGGTCAGCTCACTTGGCCATTCTGCTCCTATAATAGCGACCCCCTCATCCCTCAGTATCGACTGGTTGAAGTCCTGCCCATTAGTCAAGGCCCAGCTCAAACATCATTTTCCTCTCAAGAAGCCTTTGCAGATGCCCAGTCAGAATCAACCTTTTCTTCCTTCCACAATAGAATACTTTTTTGGTACCTCTGTTGTGACACTCACCCTTAACCAGGTATTTTTGTATGTATTTGACTCTCCAGTCAATTTTTGAATTTTCTTTGCAGGAACTGCTTTTCTTTGTATCTCTTTAGTGCAATGCAAGAGTATCCGTAATAAAAATGGCAGAGAATTTGGGAAACTAGAGGATGACTCCAGTTTTATCAGTTGTATAATGATCCCAACAGAGTTAAGAACAGTGATTAAGTCACTTACATTGCAGTAATTTCCATAACTGTACGTCCTCAATCTCTCTTTCAAGGATCTTTTCGTAATTTACTGTGCCAGAATAAAGTGGGATAGAATTGAACAATGTTCTGTCTGAATTAGACATATTTTCTCATTGATGCAAGTACATTGTAGATCCTGTTAAGAGAGATTATTGTGGGAAGTATATGGAGTTTATGCTCCGTAGTGTTTCTCATTTAATGATCCTTCAGATATGCACTCAGAGACAGTGTTATTACAAAGCTTCCATCTAATTACGATTACCTTGAGTTTACACCGGTTTGAAAATGGTATACTTTCCCAAACAGGCATACCATGACAGTTTAATTCTGGAAAATAGTCTGAGAAGTTACCTATGTGACATAAAGCATATTTATATATTTATACATATGTCGACGTAAGAAACATCCAAACCTATAGAGAATTTTTATGAGTTTATTTGAGCCAAACTGACAATTGCCAGGAAACAAAATCTCAATGGATTGAGAAAAATGCTCCAGAGAATGGCAATTTTGCAGCTTATTTTATACTTTAGAATAAAAGGAGGAGAAAAGGAGAGATACATGAAATCCATTGGTGGTAGATTAAAGGGGAGGGAAAAAGCAAAGCAGAGAAATCTTTGAGATTAGATAAAAAGGCAAAATAGAGAAACACACACTTCTTTTCCATTGTTGGGCACAGGAGCGTTAATAACACTTAAAGCACACAGATATGGTACCTGGGGAGCCAGATAAAGGAGAGGTTATTGGCCTTGTGCTCTGGTGCCTGTGGTTGTGCAATGATGGGCTGGGCAAGATTACGCTGACATTTCAAAGGTATGTTATCTTAGATGTAAAAGGACAATAGCCTCGCTTATGGTGAAGGTGGACATTTGTCAAGGAAGCTACAGCCCTAAGACGTGACTGCCCTCCGTGACTCACTTTTAGTTAGGAATTTCTATGTTCAGACCATTTTATGTGGTTACCTTCGGCCTCTGCATTTGTAAGACCCACCATGCAGGCCTCCCCTGAATTTGTCAGGTTTAATATGTGGCCCTTTTTCATCCACATATACTAATCTTTTTAAAGTGCATAGCGAGTTAGCTCATGAAAAATGCTCTCGACTTTTGTGGCCTTCCCTTCTCAGGGACAGTGGGGACCGATATGCCTTAACTCTCACTTGCATTTACATTAAATCCTCATAGGCCATCATAAATACTCTTTGCATTTGTGCATGGAGTCGTTAGCATGCATTTATTCTTTTTCCTTCTCCAAAGTTTGATATTTCTAGTTTCTCGACAGTTTTAGTTTCCAACTGTTCTGCTGTTTAAGTTTGCAAACTTGCTCTTAAAGGTGGCTTACATAGTCACATTTTCATATGAAAAATGAAAGTTGGCATTAAAATTAAAACAGGATGTTCCACGCTCAAGTAGTCTATAAAGAGAGACGTAAATTCTGTTGGTTTGATATTATCTTTTTGTAGATAGCCGAAAATAAAATTTTTGTTGGAGGAATTATGTGGCTCTTTAAAGTTTTGTAAATTTTCCAATTGCATTTGAAATACTTCTGAGGTTTAAAAAAAAAAAAGAGCTTATTTAAGAAACAGTTTGCCTGTGGTTGATGAAGTTTTACAACCTTAGGCCCAATTCATTATAGATTGATTATCGATAGAGAAAGAGGAAAGAAGTTAATTGAGTCAGAAGCTTGTTTGCTAAATAAAAGAGCCTTTTACCTGTTGGGAGAAGCCAAACCTCAGGTTTTACAAAGCTTCTTAGAAATGTGAAGAAATGCTAGCATTTTTCTGTACTTTCCTAGTTTCTGACCTAGAAGGGAAAAAAGGGCACAGCAGGACGATGGAATGACTCAGAACTGCAACAATTCACAATTCTGGGAAGCACTCTTCATTTCGTGGACAATTCCTCTCCCCTAAGTGGATTTAGCTAACTGCTAACCCACACAGTACGAGATGACTGTGATCACACAGTATGTGCTTGCCATCAAAATAATAAGAATAGCAAGTGCTTTTATAGAGCATGATCTGTGTCAGTCTTTATCCTCAGTGCCTACGTATATTAATTCCTTTAATCTTTATAACAGCATTTTGAGATAGGTATAATTATTATCCTCATTTTATAGATGAGAAAACTGACACAAATAGAGATTAGGAAACTAGTTCAGGGTTATATAGCAAAGAAGAGGAAGGACTGGCATATAAGACCAGGCACTCTGCTGTCAACGCCTGTGCTCCCAGCCTGCCCTCAACACTGCAGGTAGGACAGGTGATGCTAAAACTCTCCACCTACACGTGGCTTAGTGCCCAAACTACCTAGGTGAGAAAAATGAAGGTTGACCTAGGAACAGATCAAAAAGGCAGTAGTTAGGTTAAAATGGTCCCTAAGAAGTTGTGCAGGTACTGATTGTTCTGTTTGACTGCAGGCCTCACTTTGGAGGCTTTGCCATCTTGCACCAGTTCCCTGTGGTATTCACTCCGTCAAGGCACCCATCACACACAGCATTGTGAATGCCCACGTGTCTCAGGCTTTCGTTAGCGGCAGGAAGTATCTCTCTTATTCACAGTTGTATCCTCTGTGTCTAGTGCAGTATTTGGCATATATTGGGACACAGTAAATATATTTGAATACATTAATATTTTGAAGGAATTTATTTAAATCTGGCCCTATCAGTGTCTCGATTTAAGTATGTTCATTAAGGCAGTAAGTAATTCGTATCCAGTTTTACTTTTCCCATATTAAATAAACTTTTATAGAAAAATCGTAAAATTTTATAGAAAAATTAAGATGCATACTTTGCTGTCTCTAGTAATATTTTTACTTCTCTCAATTATTCACACCTCTTCTGCTTTGTCTAAGCATCAGCAGCCACAGCCATTTACATGGTGGCAACCTACAAAATGGCTGACATAATGCCTGGAAGGAAATAAAAGACTTTTATGTGGTTGATTTGGCCTGGAAGGAAACAAAGGACTTCTATAAATTTGATCTTGCATTTTCAAACCTAATAAGTGATGAAAAACATACACAGACATTTTAGTAGCTAAGTGGGACCTTTAGTCTGTTTTCTTTTTACTTTAATTATGGATGATCTTAAACTCTCTAACCAAGTAAATATCTCATGTAGGAAAAATTATTTTGACATTAGAAGACATTAGTAGATACTTGATTCTTTTGAATGAATAATGAGGTAAACTTTCTTTTCCTTATTTAAAATAAATAATGATTTCTCTTTGGAAGTTTCAGTATATATAGAATTAAAAAGTATATGAAACTACTTCTTTAGGTCATCTATTGTGATAAATACATCTTAAATTAATTTACGTAGCTCATGAAACGCTTTTACCTGTATTTTCTCTTTTTAACATCCCAACGATGATGTGAAGTAGATAGGACTGGTATTTTATATTCCTGATTTTTGTAGTTGTTTGTTCTTGGAAGTGATAGGCTTTCAGGTTCTCTCCCAGTGGTTCGGGCATTTTTTTGAGAGGCCTCCCCAGTGGGGTTAAGATAACAAACTGGTTGGAAGATCCAAGAGAATGGGTCTGACGGAAGGGGTGCTGCTCTCAAACCCTGTCCCAGTGGCCTGGTCAATGCAACATACTTACCTGCATGTGGGAGCAAGGAGTGCAGGCTGGTCGAGGAAGCCATACATTGTGGCTGACAATTTGGCTGTAAATGTTGCTTCCTTACACTGAGTTGGTGACAGAATTATAACTTTGCTGTGCCCCATAGATGTAAAATATGAATGGAATGACCAAACGCTTAGGTTGTGTGGGTGGGTCAAGGGCTCAGGTATGCCAAGCCTGTGCGTCATATATCACGGCAGTTGTAGCATTAAAAGAAAAGATCAACATTGCCCTAGCCACTGGACATTCTCCATATCCATCTGAGCAACTTTTATTCCCTTCAGGATGAGAAAGTGAAAGCAAAGTTGAGGTTTCCTACTACACCTCAAAAATGAGGGACCTTTTGTCTTGAATTTGTTTTGGTACCATAGATCCGAACTCTACCACCAAGAAGCCAGTCCCACCCAGGAACACAGCAGCAAATACATCCCTTTCAGGCAGATGTTATTTTGGTATCTGAAGCTGTGAGACACCATGCTTTCTCTTTAAATGTCACTTGCTTAAAGAGAAAAAATTAACTTCAATGTTAGAAACCCTATTAGTATATATCAACTTTCCTCCATATATATATATATACAATGGTGTGTGTGTGTGTGTATATATATATATATATATATATACACACACACACACACACACACCATTGATTAAGTTATATAAAATAGTTCCTGGCAATAGATATATGTTGTTTACTGTTATGATTCAATTAATGTATGTGAACATGCTTCGCAAATTATACAACATTATACAATTATGTTATTGCTATTAGACAACTGGCTTTTAAAAAAATTGTGGTTGGAAGGTTTGTTGAATATAGGTAATTGTTGATAAATTAATCATTGTTCTCTAGAAAGCTTGTTTGAATGACCTACAGTTTCTAGTTAAATATTGAATTGTCTTGCTGAATATTGTGTTACTACTTTTGGGGTTAGGAGTTAAATGTGATCTTTTCCACCTTGGTTTAAAACATCACAGTTTCCTCATGATACCTGAAAAAACATTTTCTCTCTTCCTTGCCTAAGTTGCTTCACACATTTCCTTCACCTCATAAGGCTGGGAAGAGAGAATACTCGATTTTTTAAAGCTTTATTTTTTATCTTTGTATTTTTAAAATTGGTGCCTTTATTTTTGGAGCGTCTCCTTTTCTCTTTCTTGTCCTTCTCTTCTTTTTCCTCCATCATCATCCCTCCCTCGCTCTTCTGGTGAATTTTAGTTCTTCCATGAACCAGGTCTTAACCAAGCTAGACTCTTTAGTAGGTCCCTGCACGATCCTCTGGACCTCGTTGTTGTCAGTGTCCTCACCATCATCTCGTCATTGTGTAGTCTTTTCCTCTGGGCATAGCTTTTGTCAGCCCACAGTGGGCCATCATCTTAGGTTTCCAAATCCTGCACCTGGCCTTACAATGACAAAAGTGTACGTGTTCCTGGCACTGTGTCCTCTTCCAGAGAAGTCAGTGTGGTCAG